AGTTTTGGCAGGATGTGTTTGACTCTCAAAGCTTGTGTAAAAGTGTGGAATAAGGTCCTCTATTTATAGGGAATTAAATGGGATTGAGAATTGGAGGAAACAATGAAGTTTGGAGGGAAATTGGATGGAGGTCGAGCACGAGTGAAGTGTAACTTGATTTTCATCAAAACTCAGCTATTCTTTGCATTTTGAGGTGCTAATCAATTCTGGAGGTTCACTAAACGTGATTAGAAGCAAAAACACGTAGTAATTTTGTGATTAGAAGCCAAAACAAATATTTCAAATTGTGACTTTTGGAGAAACTTGAGTTTTAAGTTACCAAATTCAAATCAATGGCATTCTCAACTCAAGGAATCTTAGGACATGATTCTTTAAGCTTTAGAAAGATGAGGTTACAAGATTTTCAATATGCAAATAATGGGACCAAATGGATGCTTGAGCTGAAAGTTGTAATGAGTCAAAGTTGAGAAAAAAAGGTTGACTTTCTATACTTAGAAAATTTCTAAGTTTTTTCTTTAAAAATGACTTGTAATGTCTTGCATCCAAACATGTCCTTCCACTTGAAATTTGCTCTTAATCAAAAAATATGGCATGAAGCAGGTCTCTTGAATGACATTTTGAGACTTGAACCATTCAAAATATCCAAAAATTGAGAAAGTTATGACTTGTTGAAGTTGGAAAAAATTCATGAAATGACCTATAATCTTTTGTATCCTTAGGGCATCTTCCATCTATTTTCACACTTTACACTTAAAAGATGGGTTTAAGTTCACACTTTACACTGAAATGAGCTCAAAGTGATAAAATTTGACCAAGTTATGATCATTTGAAATCACCTAATGGAATTTGAGGGTTCATCTAGAGGACTTGTAATCTTTGTTCATCATCAAGTTTCTTCCACATAAATTTTCCTTGAAACTTTTAAAGTAATTTTTGAATAACCATTTGAATAGAATCATGTCTTTGGAATCACTCAAAAATACCAAAAGATGAATAAGATATATCCCTTTGAAGTTCAAAACCCTAGCTCCTAGAGCAAGAAAATGCCTTGGGAAACCTTTGCAATTTTGACCTACCTCCTTAGACAAATACTTTTGTCATGTGAATATGAGTTGTTGAGGATGATAAGTAGAAACCATAGCAACCAAAACCACTTCCAAATCTTGTGAATTGAAGGAGATGCGCGCTTGTGATCAATGAATCAAGGATTTTCCCAATTGAGTCAAAATTCTTCAAACAATCCTTGTACCTTTGAACCATCTTTGAGAACTTGAAGTATGATGAATCATAATAGACTTTATCATGATATTGCTTAAAAGTATCTTCAATATTGAGGCTTGAGTCTCAATGAAGCTTTGTTGAGGAAGGCATATAAATGAACTCATGAATCCATAGATCAATCTTGATGGAATATGTTGTGCTTTCTCCTACAACATCATCAATTGGGGCATACACTTATTGTATTCATTAGTTAAAGGATAATCAAAACATATATGAACAAAAAATACAAGCCAAGGTGCTTGGTGATTCCCCATAGAGCAAAGCAAAAGATAGGGAGAAGAACCAAACCCTAGTGTGTGATCTTGTTATGATTAAATTGATATGATGTGATAGAGGGATCTTATGGTCAAAAATTGGGGTACAACAATTTCAACCTCCAAATTTGGGTCCAAAACAGTGTTTTTACACATAATAACCTATATTCTTAAACCAATTTAATTAATATATCATTCTACATCAGTTTTCTACATCAAAGCCTTACTTTTCATCATTTTCATAAACCTATATTTTCAGATTTGGGATTTCAGGGAAAAACCCACAACAACAATATCAGTTCTCTTCAAAAATCATATTATTAACATCACACCATTCACAATTTCATAACAATCATATGGATATAACAACAATAAACCAATGGGAAATATATATATATATATATATATATATATATATATATATATATATATATATATATATATATATATATATATATATATATATATATATATATATATATATATATATATATATATATATATATATATATATATATATATATATATATATATATATATATATATATATATATATATATATATATATATATATATATATATATATATATATATTAATTACACACAAAACCTAAAATGGGAAAGTAACCCTCACTATCCTCTCATGTTATAATCACCATTTAGAGAATTCATTCTCCCCCTTTACCTTAGTTTGGAGCTTTGATTCCTCTAACAATGATAGAATTCTCTTGCCATAGCTTTTCCCTTCTCTTCTCCTCTCTTCTCTATTTCTACGTGACAACCATTTTTCCCCAATTGCTTCTACCACTCTCCAAATATAATGTTTTATTCTTAGTAGCAATAATAATAACAATGGAATAATTACAATAATAATAACTATAATATTAATAATAATATTATTATTATTAGTGGTAACTTTATCATATATCTAATAATATTTTTATTAATAATAATAGTATATCCCATCATTCACCAATATTATTATTATTATAACATAGGCAAAGTTTAATTCTAATTATTTAACTAAAACTAAGTTCTCTCATACCCTTAGCCATGCCTACATACCCTTAGTTATGCCAAAATAATTCAAAGTCAACAAATAACGACTAAGTATTTAAACAGGCATTATATCATTCATCAAAAATCCTGTGTTAAGATACCCCAACAAAATGTGAATGGTGGAGAGAAAACACCAACATATATTGAATGTAGCTAGAACTTTATTCTTTCATTCCTTTATCACTCTCAATATGTGGAACTTCTGTGTCCAGCATGTTATACATATAATCAATAGATTGCCTACCCCTATTTTGAAATCTAAGTGTCCTTATGAGCTTTTGTACCATCAACCACCTTTTATAATCCGCTTGAAAGTCTTTGGCTGTTTAAGTTTTGCTGCTACCATCCAAGCACATGGAACAAAATTTGACCCTAGAGCTAGGAAATCTATTTTCCTTGGGTTTAAGGATGGAACCAAAGGATATATCCTGTATGATATACAAAACCATACCATCTCCGTCTCTAGGCGTGTGGTGTTTTATTAAAACTACTTTCCTTTCAAACCTAGTCAACCACCCTCAAAATCCCAACTTGACCACACCACTCTCCATACCTATGATGGCCCCGATGTTTTCAATCAGTATCCTAATGCTACTGACATATATAGTCATCTTGACAATAGAAACTCATCCACCAGTCCAAAAAAGCAACCTGATAACACTATTCCTGACAATAGTACATACATCAATGTTCCTCTATCTCATGTTGTTAGTCATTCCCAAAAATTTGACAATTTTTTCAATAGCCTTATCTCCATCACAAGTACTACTCCTAGTACAAACCCTATGAACACCACAAGCTCACCCCTTTTACCTAGTCCTCCTAACAATACCTCTTTTGAGAATCTGTCTTTACCTAATGAACATCCAAATAATCCTACTTATGTATCCACTAGTCACTATGTTCCTCTAGTGGTAACTGAACCTTCTAATCCACCTTTTAAACATTATACTCGAGTATCTAACCCTCCTAGCTACTTGGGAGACTATCACGGCTACCACACTACTAATACTCACTCTCCATCCAAATCTCCAACTCAACTCGTTGCTTATACCCTTTCTTCTATCATTTAATATGATAATTATTCTCCTTCTTACAAGCATTTATGTTGTTTCATTTCTTATATATGAACCTAAGACTTATTACCAAGCTATTAAACACGACTGTTGGAAACATGCCATGGATGTTAAGTTAAATTCTCTTGTAGAAAACCAAACTTGGAGTGTGGTTGATTTTGGTAAAATTCATATTGGATGTAAATGGGTATATAAAGTCAAACATAAGGCAGATGGTTCCATTGAAAGGAATAAAGCTCGGTTGGTGGAAAAATGATATACTCAGATGGAATGTATTGACTATTTTGATACATTCTCGCATGTTGCAAAGCTCACTACAATTAGAGTCTTGTTGTCACTTGCAGCTATTAAGGGATGGAATTTGGAGCAGTTGGATGTTAACAATGAATTCCTTCATGGTGACTTACATGAAGAGGTATATATGACTCCTCTACATGGCATATATGGTTTCCATACATCCAAAGTTTGCAAGTTGCATAATTCCTTGTATGACCTAAAACAAGCCAGTAGACAATGGTACTCTAAGTTATCTGTTTTCTTATTTTCTCTTGGTTATCATCAATCACATGCTGATTATTCTTTATATGTTAAGAGTGATAGGCAGGGTTTCACTACCTTGTTAGTCTATGCAGATGACACTGTCTTGGCAGGGAACTCTCCTACTGAGATTCAGAATGTCAAGCATCTCTTGGATCAACAATTTAGAATAAAAGATCTTGGGTAGTTAAAGTTCTTTTTGGGATTTGAGATTGCAAGATCCAAAGCATGCATCTTCCTAAACCAAAGAAAGTACACTCTTGAGCTCTTAGAAGATGTTAATGTTCTTGTTGTTAAGCCTTCCTCAGTCCCTTTTGATCCTAACACCAAGCTTTCCATTCATGAGGGTCAATTATTGGAAGATCCATCTTTATATAGAAGGTTAATCTGCCAATTGATATACTTGACTAATTCCATACCAGACATATCCTTTGTTGTTCAACACCTAAGTCAATACATGTCTCAACCCTGTTTACGTCATTATCAAGCTGTCACACGTGTTCTTAGATATTTGAAATATGTTCCTGCTACATGCATACTTCACCATCCGGCACCACCACCACTTCAAGATTCGACAACCAATCACCCCAAAACCAACTCCCAGAAGCGGAAGAAAGAGGTCAATTCCAAGTTACAGCACCTACGAACACCAGAAGAGAAGCTAGCTTAAATCGAAACCCTAGAAAAGGAGCTCGAGGGTTTGTTTGAGTACTACAAAGGGGTTTTGGGTAAGAAGGTTGTTGTTGACCTTAAGAAATGCGGTGGGTCGAGAAACACGGTTGTTGCAGCATTGATGGAAGAGAGCGAGCTTCCGTTGTCGAAGCTTGTGGATGAGATTTATGGGAGGGTGAATAGTGAGGTGGCAAATTGGGGAGTTATGTTGGCAGAAGGTTTTAACTTTGTCTTGGTGAAGAGTAGTGTGTTGTTTGTAGGTGAAGAGTAGTGCGTTGTTTGTTGGGCAGAGGATGATGTATTGGCAATGTATTGTGTTTTGGGTGATGTTGTAGCTGCACGGTACGTGTTTGATGAAATTCCTAGCTTAAGTGCATTTTCTTGGAGTGTGATGATTTCTGGATATGCAAAAGTGGGTGATGTTGATTCAGCTAGGTTGTTCTTTGATGAAGCACCTGAGAAAGATAAAGGTATATGGGGTGCTATGATTTCTGGTTATGTACAAAACAATTGCTTTAAAGAAAGTCTTTATTTGTTTCGATTGATGCAGCTTACGGATATAGACATATAGTACCCGATGAATCTATATTTGTGAGCATTCTTTCTGCCTGTGCTCATCTTGGAGCTTCAGATATTGGTGTGTGGATTCATCGACATTTGAAACAATCGAAGCTTGTTCCGTTCAGTGTTCCTTTGATTACTAGTTTATTAGACATGTATGCTAAATGTGGGGATTTGGAAACGGCAAAAAGATTATTCAAATCAATGCAAGAGAGAGACATTGTATGTTGGAATGCTATGATTTCTAGTTTGGCAATGCATGGAGATGGGAAAGGTGCACTCCAGCTGTTTTATGATATGGAAAAAGTTGGGATGAAACCTGATGATATAACATTTATTGCTGTTTTTACTGCTTGTAGTTACTCAGGAATGGCACATGGAGGTTTGAAGTTGTTGGATAGAATGCTAAGTGTTCACAACATTGAGCCAAAAAGTGAACATTATGGCTGTTTAGTTTATTTACTTAGTAGAGCAGGATTTTTTGAAGAAGCAATGGTTATAATAAGAAAAATTACCAAATCTTTGAATGGCTCTGAAGTGACATTGGCTTGGAGAGCATTCCTGAGTGCATGTTGTAACCATGGAGAAACTCAACTAGCTGAACTTGCTGTTGAAATTGCGGTTAAAATTTTTGCCCAAACTCCCTAAAATTCTTGGCTCCGCCACTGATCTCATCCTATATATATATATATATATATATATATATATATATATATATATATATATATATATATATATATATATATATATATATATATATATATATATATATATATATATATATATATATATATATATATATATATATATATATATATATATATTTATAAAACCTGTAAAGCAATATAACAATCAATGAAAAATTACAGTTACTTCATAATCGTTTTATAACAAACTCTTTTTTCTGTTGAGTTTTCTTCTCCTTTTTCATGTATAATCGTGCTGAATCGTTCACCATTAACAATCAACTATATGGTTTATTCACTTTAACAGGTTTTATAAATGAATTTCTCTAATATATTTCTCTAATATATTTTTTCAAGTTTATAATAAGTATGTTCTTATAATTTGTTGAGCCATATTTCTATTGTATTTAAAAATACTACTTAAATCAATGCATAAAAATTAGCGCATATTATTTATCTATATTTGATATCATGTAAATATTTATGAATTACAAAACAAATTTAAAAATTGATAAATAAGATATCTCTGTGTAATTTAACTCCAGACACAACTCATATAATAATATAGTAATATATATTCAGACATAACTCATATGATAATATAGTAATATCAATCCAGACACAACTCATAGGATATCACAAATATGTTACTAGTTATTAATGGAATATGGTAGGCGCAAAATCAATCTAGATTTAAGTATATCGATTTAAACCGGAAGGCTTGCATCACACCCAACTTTTAATGTGAGTTTATTTTAATTTCTTTTGTGTGTTAATAAATTTTCTTGTTGCTTGAAAATGAGTAAGAAATAGATATTCATTTTTTTTGACAACAATATTATGATGAAATGAAAGTAAATATATAAAAATTTAGTGGTACCCACAAAATTGATCTCAAATAGTTTCCATTCATTACCAAACCGCTAAATCTTCCTCTCCCACTCATTGGTTGTTGCATTGCAATTGCAACATTTTCATGCATTCAAATTCTCAAAATTCCATTCACAAACAATCCAATCACATCAACCCATGTCCCAATCAATCCCAACAATCACAAACCCCTCTTTCTCTCTCCCTCTCTTTCCTTCTAACACATATTCAATTCAACAACTTCACAAAGAAACAAACTGATTCTTCAGCACTATTATTGTTTTTTTAGCATCTGATTCCATTTTCAACTTCTGGGTATCTTCAAAATCTAATCTTTATTCTTTTCCCTCTTCTGGGTAGGTCTAACATTAGGTTTCTCAAAATTCCCACAATTGAAGGTGTGTGAAATGGTTATGGTTTCTGCTTTCATCTTCATTGGGTTTCTTCTTGGCGTGGTTGTTGTTGTTGGTGTTGAATTTCTTGGTTTCCTGTGGATCCTTAAACGACTGCGTTGCAAGATTGACAGTGATAAAGCTAGAATTTCATCAATATCCCGAATTGGTAGTAGTAATAGTTCACAATTTGATGATTCTCAACATTCTTTCAAAAAAGAGGTAACTTTGATTCTTCCACAAACTTGCCCCTTTTTTTGTGAAAACCCTCATTGTGTAGTAGAGTCAACTAAGATAGCAATTTTTTGTTAGTATTTTATTATTTGGTTATGTTGTGTGTTTCAGATTGTTCATGTGATTGATATTGGATTTCGGTTTGGCTTTGGCTTTCTTCAGGGTGTGGTTTGGGTTTTAGAACCAGAAAAGGTTTCAAAGTACTTTGTGGAAAGGTCATCAAAAGAGGTGAAAAAGAAAAAAGAACTTTTTGAGGTTTCTCCTGTTAGGAAGTATGGTAAAATCAATTATCAGTCACTTGTTCTCACTGAACCTGATGGATTGGATACAGCCATTCAACTCAAGGGATGCATTGTTGAAGCTGTTTCTGCCACAAGCCTTCCTACAAAAAAATGGTAATGTTGTGAAGTGGGAAATGCTTTTCTTTTGGCGTTGTTTCCATTTGTATCGTGTTATGTGACTTTGATTTGTGATTTGTGGACTTCACTGTTTTTAAGATTGATTTAATTACTTTAATTTGTGATTCTTTATGGTTGATTTGATTCCTTTGGCTTCTTGAGGGGAACTCCTAGAATACTAGTTTTAGTTATTTGGTTGGGTTTAATGCATGTGTCTAATGTCTAGTTTATCTTGATAATAATAAAGTTTATGTTTGTAGAAAGGTATAAATTATAATACAATTTGTAGAAAACCGTGACTGTAAAATTGCTGAGAAATGGGTTTCTTTTGAACACTCCCTAACTTTAGATTTAGAATGGATAGATCACATTTCCTTTATGCCTTGCCTTGCATGCATTCCAAAGAAAAAGTAACTTGTTATAGCTTGAGGTATTATAGCTTGAGGAAGACCTAGAGGTTAACAAGTTTGATAGAAATATGATATATGGCAGAACATAATGGCTTCGTTTGATCCATTTTGACCCTACTTAGTGGGATACGAATTGGTTGTTGTTGTTGTTGTGACTTGACTTATAAGCATTATACTTCGAATTATTATGGATAAATTATTTTATTATGCCCTTAATGATTAACTGTGGAAGTTAAATACTGCATGTTCTTATCTGATTGGTAATGAATTTTATAGGGCAAAAAAGTTCCCTATCAAAGTGGAAAACAAGACCTCTGTGATATACCATGGAAGCAAAACTCTTTACGTATATCTTGAGACTTCATCCGAGAAAGAGGCATGGTGTAAGGCCCTTCGAATGGCCTCATGCAATGAGAAAGAAAAACTCCAATGGTTTTCCCAATTGCAAGAAGAGTTTCGTAGTTATCTGACATTGTTAAATACTGAATATTATTCCTATATGAAACCGTCAGTAGGATCAAATTTTGAAGCAATAGAAAGGGCTACTAAGACGGATGGCTCTTCCTCAAAGGTTCGTCAATTTTTGAAAAAAATTACAAGAAAAAGTTCTCGCGTTGGTTTGGATAACAAATCAAGTTGGACTTCGTTGTCAGTCCGTGAAGATAAAAAAAAAACTGATAAGCTTCGTGCTTGTCAAGACGCAGTTTTAGCCACTAGCTTCTTGAAAAGTGCTGCAGCAGCTAATCATCCGAAAAGTTCAATGTCAGATGATGCTTCACTATCATCTTCATCATTGTCTCATTCAGGAAGGCAAAGTCAATTTTCAACATTGTCTCATTCAGCGAGCCAAAGCCAATGTTCTGTCTGTTCTGACACCGATGAAAAGTTTGGCATTGATGAAGGAACATTATGTTGGAATTTGTTGATTTCCCGACTCTTTTTTGATATCAAAGGCAATGAGCAAATGAAGAAATCTGTACAAGAAAGAATTCAGGTTTAAGATTTTCCCATATGAATTTATGTTTTTTTAGTCATTTTTACATTAGATGAGAATTATTTTGGCTAACATTCAATTGGTCTACTCTATGGTAGTTTGTTGCATTGCTAAATTGAAATTAATATATTAACTCATCCATATTGAAACCCTGGATGAAGAGTATTTCGTCATTTGATAGGTACAAGCTGAATACTAATGAATAATACTTATTTAGCTTAACATGTTAAGATTATATGTTAAGAGTTTAATTGCTAGCCTGCCTCATGTCGGTCCATCAAACTGCTTCATTTTGTTATGGTAATTTATGATGGTCTTCTCTGTTTTTCTTTTACAGAGGACGTTGTCCAACATGAGAACTCCTGCTTATGTCGGTGAAGTCGTCTGTACAGACATCAACTTGGGGAATGTTCCACCCTGTATCATTGGGATGAGGGTTCTTCCGATGGAAATGAGTGAGGTATGTGCCTTAGAGGTTGACATTGAATATTCTGGAAGTTCAATATTAGAAATTGAAACAAGGCTAGAAGTTTGTGAACTGGAGAAAGAGGGCTCAAATCCCGAGTTAAGCAAGGTTGGGTCTGTCCCATCAGATATTCTTCAAGATTTTGGATATTTTGATAAGCAATTAGGTCTTGCCGAAGGAATGATTGATTTGCAAGAACCTAAAGAAGATGGTGACCGGAAGCAATTAGGTCTTGCAGAAGGAATGAGTGGTAAACAATTAGGTACTTAAGTTCTATCATATTATGCCACTTACCTATTTTCTCTACGTAGTTGTTTGTTAACTCTGAACTTGATTTTTCTCCTGCTAAAATGGAGTCGATGAAAATCGTAGTGCTAACCATTCACGAGCCTTTATTTAAAAACTCAAGCTTTTAGAATGACTTATCTTTATTTTAGTTTTTGTTCCTTTTTTCTTTAGTTACAAGTTTTTTTTTTTTTTGTATATTTTTAACAATGGAAATGAAATCTTGTGGTTTTCAACTGTTTTTTTGGTCTTGTTTTCCTATAGGATACGTTATCAACTTTTTTCTAGTTCTGCATTTCTCCTCTACACTCGTGTAGACAAGCTATCCTCATATCTAGATATAACTATATAAGTGTGTTAGACTCTTTAGTTTTGTAATTGTTATTAAATTATTAGGACATCTAGCGGGTAATTATTATAGTGTTAAGAATATTTGTATATATATAATGTTAAGAATATTTGTATGTAGAATAGTCCCACATCGATTATATAGTGTAATTAGTTGTAATCTCTCTTATATATAATAAAGTCTCCGTATTGTTTTCATAACACACGGTTTAACCTAAATGTCTCTTAGTCTCTCTTAATTCAATATGGTATATAGAGTCTTCTAAGAGGTAATTCTCCGCCGTGCTTTACTCGGTTGATCCACTGTCTTCCAGTGAGAAATTTTCTTCTGCAAACTGTGTCATCCTTCCGGTTTGCCTCAATTTTTTTTAAAATTTTGTTTTCCAACGACCTCGGCCAAGCACAGTCCACGGATTTTTTTTCCCGTAGGACTATTGTTCACCGCCGCTGTCACTGTTTACCGCCGCCGCACTGTTCACCGCCGCCACTGTTCATCGGTGTCGCTACTGTTCACGAATTTTTTTTCCTCGAAAAATCGCCTTCCTCCTCCGGTTCCAGATCCGCCATCGGTTTTCGTTTTCGACTCACAGAAAGTCGTACTCTTGTTCAAACAGTCCCAGTTGTTGTGTTTTAAGCCATGAGAGATGCTGATTCTATCTCGTTTACTAAAGTTCCGCTTATCCCATGTGAAAAACTAACCGGATCAGCCAACTATAACATATGGGCTCGTGCTGTCGAGATGTGGTTTCACGGTCAAGGATATGAAGAGCATCTAACCACCCAATTGAGTGACGTTCCAGCCGTCAAACTCGCTAAATGGAAGAAAACTGATGCCTCTTTGTGTACTGTGTTGTGGTTTTCCATAGCACCTAACCTCCAAGCGCAGTACCAAGCATTCTCCACTTGTTATGAGGTGTGGCAAAAGGCCAAAAAAGTCTTTTCCAACGACGTTCATTCTCTATACAGTGTCATCCACAAACTCAACACACTGAAGTTGGAAAATATGGATGTGCAAGCTTATCTGAGTAAGCTTGATGTCTTGAAAGCAAGTTACACAATCCTCATGCCTTACGCAAAAGATACAATAGCTCATGCCGAACAACAGAGTAAATATTTCATGGTCATGGCACTTAAAGGACTACCATCAGAACTCGAATCTATTCATAACCAGATTTTATCAGGTACTACTGTTCCTAACTACGATACAGTTAGTGAACAATTGTTGCGCTTGGCTACACCTCATGCGTTTGGCCCGATTTCTCCTCCATCTATTGTTATTCCAACTCCAAATTAGAATCGCTTTCGAGGAGGGTCGTCCAACTCCAAATCTCGTCCTAAGTGTGACCATTGTAACCGGCTTGGACATACTATCGATCGTTGCTGGAAGTTGTATGGCAAACCTCCACGGCAGGTAAATGCAACTCAAATTGATAACCCAAACACTATGCAGACTTCACCTTCTCTTCAGAACCATACGTCAAGCTACGAGGATTTTCTCAGGTGGTGTCAGACTAACCAGACCTCTGGTTCCACGGCTTCGATTGCACACACTGGTAATTCATCTGTTTGCGTCTCTCAATCATCTCCTCTTGGTCCTTGGGTCCTCGACTCTGGTGCGTTTGATCATGTTACCGGTAATAAAAATCTTTTCTCTCCCCTTTCTACCTCTGGTTTCTTATCGAGTATAGCTGTCGTAAATGGTTCTCAAACCCGATCCCAAGGGATCGGTGCTATTCAAATTCTACCATCTCTCTTTGTTACTTCTGTCCTATATGTACCTAATTGCCCATTTAATCTACTGTCAGTCAGTCGTTTAACCCGTTCCCTTAATTGTTCTATCACTTTTACTAACAGTGATGTTATTCTGCAGGATCGAAGTTCGGGACAGACGATTGGCGTCGGATGTGAGTCTCAAGGCCTATACTACTTCTCTACGTCATCTACCACATGCTCCACCACAAATTCTCCACTCATTATACATGCACAGTTAGGTCATCCAAGTCTTCCCAAGCTACAAAAGTTGGTGCCCAGTTTATCTAAATTATCCACTTTACAGTGTGAGTCTTGTCAATTAGGGAAACATACTTGTAGTCACTTTCCCGATCGAGTCAATAAACGGGCTGCGCCCCCTTTTGCTTTAGTTCACTCCGATGTTTGGGGTCCATCGCGTACTGTGTCTACTTTTGAGTCTAGGTATTTTGTAACATTTATTGATGATTTTTCACGTTGCACGTGGCTATTTTTAATGAAAAACAGATCTGAATTGTTTTCTATTTTTGAACAATTTTATTGAGAAATAAGAACCCAATTTGGTTTGTCCATTCGTACCTTAAGAAGTGACAATGCACGTGAATATTTATCCCAACAATTTCAAACTTTTATGTCATCCAATGGTATTCTACACCAAACATCTTGCCCTCATACACCTCAACAAAACGGGATAGCCGAACCCAAAAACCGACATCTCGTAGAAACCACTCGGACTCTACTTCTCCATGGTAATGTCCCTCTCAGATTTTGGGGGGATGCTGTGCTCACGACGTGTTATCTCAATTACCGCATGCCCTCATCTGTCCTTAATAATAAAATCCCTCATTCAATCTTGTTTCCAAACTCTCCTCTTCACCCAATTCCTCCTCGAGTCTTCGGGTTTACATGTTTTGTGCATAATCTCTCCCCTGGTCTTGATAAACTATCAACTCGATCACTAAAGTGTGTCTTTCTTGGTTATCATCGATCCCAAAACGGTTATTGTTGCTACTCACACACTCTGCAACTATACCTGATATCGGCCGATGTTACCTTCTTCGAGTCAGTGCCATATTTTGCGTCCACCCAAGTCACTCCGGAACCCCTTCAAGAAAGTACCCCCACACCTCTTCCAGACGTCCCATTTCCCGTTATTCCCCATCATTCTAGGGAACCTGTCCCACGAGAAACCCCTACGGTTGACCCCCCCATCTCGCCCACTTCAAACATATCAGCGTCGTAAACCAATGTCTGTCATACATGTCCCTGAGGTCATTGCAGACTCTCCTCCGACGCTATCACCATCACCGGATTCGATCCTGCAACCTGAGTCTGATCTTCCGATTGCCCTTCGCAAGGGTATACGTCAAACACGAAATCCTTCTCCACATTATATTGATTTATGTTATCATCGTCTTTCCCCTTTGCAGTGTACTTGTTTGTCCTCTTTGTCTTCTGTTTCTATTCCTAAATCTCCAGATGAAGCATTATCTCACCCTGAGTTGGAGGCAAGCAATGATTGATGAAATGTGTGCTCTTCAAAGCAGTGGTACCTGGGAACTGGTTCCTCTATCCACTGGAAAATCTTTAGTAGGTTGTCGTTGGCTTTATACAGTGAAGGTTGGTCCAAATGGTAAGATTGATCGTTTTAAAGCTCGCTTGGTAGCCAAGGGATACACTCAGATTTTTGGGTTGGATTATAGTGATACCTTCTCGCCTGTAGCCAACATGACATATGTTAGACTTCTTCTAGCCATTGCAGCCATTCGACATTGGCCTTCTTCATCAACTTGACATCAAAAATGCATTTTTACATGGTGATCTTGAAGAAGAAGTATATATGGAGCAACCACCTGGGTTTGTTGCTCAGGGGGAGTCATCAAATATGGGTTGTAGGCTACACAGGTCTCTTTATGGTCTTGAGCAATCTCCGAGAGCTTGGTTTGGCAGATTCAGCACTGTAGTACAACAATTTGGTATGGTCCGTAGTGAAGCTGACCATTCTGTCTTTTATCGTCACTCAGTCCAAGGGTGTATTTATCTTATTGTGTATGTAGATGATATTGTCATAACTGGTAGTGATGAGTCGGAAATACTCCAGTTGAAACAACATCTTTCAAATCAATTTCAGACAAAGGATCTTGGTAAACTCCGGTATTTCTTGGGTATTGAGGTAGCCCAATCTAAAGATGGTTTGGTGATTTCTCAGCGGAAATATGCTATGGATATTTTGGAAGAAACAGGTTTGTTGAACGCTAAACCAGTTGATACTCCTATAGATCCAAGTGTCAAACTACTACCCAATCAGGGGGAGTCTCTATCAGACTCGGGAAGGTATAGGAGATTGGTTGGAAAGTTGAATCATCTCACAGTCACTCGTCCAGACATTTCTTTTGCAGTCAGTGTGGTAAGCCAGTTCTTAAATTCCCCTTGTCAGAAACACATGGATGCTGTTATCCGGATTCTAAGGTACACCAAATGTGCTCCAGGAAAAGGTTTAGTGTATGGAGATAAAGGACATACTCAGATAGTTGGATACTCTGATGCTGATTGGGCAGGGTCACCAATTGATAGACGATCCACCCCTGGGTATTGTGTACTTGTTGGAGGAAACCTTATATCCTGGAAAAGTAAGAAACAAAATGTAGTTGCAAGATCAAGCGCCGAGGCAGAGTATAGGGCCATGGCAATGGCAACGTGTGAACTCATTTGGTTAAAACAGTTGCTCAAAGAACTTAAAGTTGAAGAAGCAAGACCAATGACACTTGATGTGATAATCAAGCTGCATTGCACATTGCTTCAAATCCAGTCTTTCATGAGAGGACCAAACATATTGAGATAGACTTTCACTTTGTCAGAGAGAAGATTGAATCTGCCGACATCGTCACAAGCTTTGTCAACTCTAATGATCAATTGACAGATGTGTTTACAAAATCTCTGCGAAGCCCCAGAACTAATTATATATGTGGCAAGCTTGGTGCATTTGACTTATATGCTCCAACTTGAGGGGGAGTGTTGATATTTGTAAATATATAATGTTAAAAATATTTGTATGTAGAATAGTCCCACATCGATTATATAGTGTAATTAGTTGTAATCTCTCTCTATATATAAGAAAGTCTCCGTAATGCTTTCATAACACGGTTTAACCTAAATGTCTCTTAGTCTCTCCTAATTCAATAAAAATAAATAGGGGAAGACATTAGGGGGCCCATTTTGGCATTAGGGAGATGCAGACCCTCGAAGTTTTGTATTATTATTTGTAACTCAAAGGGATTTTCATACTGATCAGTATAAGAGCAACCTCATGTAGCCAGAATCCAGGATCTGCTTGCTTGGAATGGACCGTTGATAGAAACCAACTGATATATAAAAGAAAACAGGGGAAATTCCTTTGAATTTGAATTACAAAATAGTACTCCCTCCGTCTCATAAAAAGTGTCTTATTTGAACAATGCGTAGTTCTTAAGAAAATGAAAGTTAATACAATTTACTAGATTACCCCTATTAATTCTAGTTAATAGATTAGTTGAATAAAGTGAAAGTTAATAAATAGGGGTATAGTAGTGGAAAAATAATAATAAATGATACATTGGAATTGTAAATGGACAACTATTTTGAGAAAGAGAAAAAGTGCAAATGAGACACTTTTTATGAGACGGATGGAGTAATACAGAACTTTGAAGGTCTGCACCTCTCTAATGGCAAAATGGCTCTTTTCCTATTCAATTCCACGATGATCAACTCCCCAATGTCTTCCCCTATTTATTCTAAACCTAAACACTCTGAATTAATAATATAATAATTATAATAACTACCCACTTGTTATCCTAATAATTTAATAACAGTCTAAAGATTCACCTTGTTCTCAAGATGAAGCCGAACCCAAGTGTCTTCCACGGTCCCACAACTTAAAGTAGAGGGATAGAACAAGCTGTGAAATATGATAACTAATGTCTGGATCATACACACTGTTTTGTATGGTATGTTTGACCCAAAAACATAGCATGACAGTAGTAGAGACATTAACAACGCCATTTCAATCAAAACAAAATATAATCCACCCTTCACCAAGGACCCATTTGAATTTGGCTCTCCAACTTGAGTGAAGCCCATCTCTCTGCGTTAGTTGTTCTAGAGAGTCTCGTCCTCGATTCGAACACCATACTCGCGCCATGTCCATCCGAGTGTTTGCCAATACCAAAAATTTTAGAAAAATCTACTTTTGTCTCTTGTTTTTCCACATTGACTTTCAAGGAGGAAATTTCAGCATCTTCTATTTTTGCAATTTCTACCTTTTCCTCATTTCTCACTCCTATTATCTAAACGAGAGCGAAGTTTCATTGTTTTGTTTCTTCTTGTTGAAGGTTAAATGTGTGAGGTAGTGACAACTCATAACTTTTTCCTATTCATCCCTTTTTGATTCCACTAGACAATCCATAACTTTTGGTTGAAATTCTTTGAGAATGGTCTTTGAAAAATCCCACCAACAAGTATTTCGATGACTCTCCTTCAAAGAAATCCACTAATCAAGAGCATCTCTAAATGCAAATGCAACAGCCCACCAAAGCTTCATCTCTTCACACATTCTTCTTGACCCAAAATACTGCTCTGCCTGGATCAGCCACCAATAGGCCTCCCTTCCATTAAATCTTGGAATCAAATTTGCAGCCATCTTCATGCCAAATTTTCCAACACACCCGCATAATCTTCCTGTATCAGAATTGCTCTGATACCAATTGATAGAAACCAACTGATATATAAAGGAAATTAGGAAAAATCCCTTTGAAATACAAATTAGTACCGCCAAATTTCAAGAGTCTGCACCTCCCTAATGCCAGTGTTAGACTTTAGGAATTACTAGGAACCAAAACTGAATGTGACTGTTCTATTCTATCAGGCAGTTACTTTTTATTAGAAGTTATTGTTTTTAATATTAACATTTAGCAGCAGTATTAAGTAGTTATTTGGGGTGTGTGAATAAAATGAGAAAGCATAGGTCAGATAGGTTATGCTGGAACTTAGAAAGAGGTCATGTTTGGGAAGGAGAGACCAAGCTCTCAAATTCTTCGAAGGGAGAGAATCAAGACTCTCGAATTTCTTGGGAACTAGTTGTAATTACTATTGAATTTTATTATGTGGTACCAGTTTCTGTCAAAGTGTTATTATAAAGCATTCAAATGGATGATGTCAATTTTTCCTTTGCAGACGTGCCAAAGAAGTTAAAGAGCAACGCACCTTCTTCAAGATGGAAATCCATGTTAAATTCTGTTGCCAAGCATGTTTCACAGGTACCATTTCTTTATTATACTCTAAGCTTTTTCCGTTGGTTTCTTTTTCCCTCTGCATTTTTGTTAGCTGTTATTTCATTATTATGAATCAGCTATATAATTACGACATATGGTTTGGACTTGTATGAACTCGGTTATCATGTAAAAAAAACATGAACTTTTATGTGAGTTTCTTTATGTTACATCTTTAACAACAAACTAATCGAAAGGGCATAATGCAAATATTTTCTTTGAGCACTTTCATGTGGATAGATGAAAAAAGAGAAATATTTGAACTATAAAGCACTCCCACCGACACTGGCATCAACATGACGACAATAATAATTTAAGAAAATATAATTGCTTGAATGTAATTACATGTATTCGTTCAGAAGTGTTAGTGCTGCATAAAATATATAGGTTAATGTATGAGCATGGAGTTATAAATTGCTAATGCTGTGTTCTCAAATTAATGGATTTGTTTGTAATCAAAAGGTTCCTATCTCTTTGGCAATAAGGGTAGCATCCCTTAAAGGGACATTGCGTTTTCTTATAAAGCCGCCACCGTCCGATCAACTGTGGTATGGTTTCACATTTATGCCTGATATAGACTTCAACTTGGAATCATCTGTTGGAGAACACAAGATAACTAATACTCACATTGCTATGTTCCTAATCAGTCGGCTCAAGGTACATACAATAGTTCCCTTTTCGTTAAGTTATGAGGGTATCATAGATTGTTTCAATAGTCTTACAAATGTTTATGTTTATTTCTCTTCTGCAGGCAGCGATTCGGGACACGCTAGTGCTCCCGAATAGTGAAAACATAAGCATTCAATGGATGCTAGCAGAAAAGGATGATTGGATTCCTCGGAGTGTTGCTCCATTTATATGGATCCACCCAGAATCTGGGAATGAAACTTCAAATTCAATTGATACGGTTTTGAAAGCTCACCCAACAGATACCAGTAATGAAGCTAGTGCAAGGACCTCAACTGATGATCCAGAACTGAAACAACAAAAACTCAAGAAAAGCGATGCTAGGAAATTAAATTCTCTGACACTTTCATCGATATCTTCTATTTCAGAAGCATTAAGGAATAGCAAAAGTTTGGAAGAATTTACAAAACCTTCATTAGAAAGTGGCCAACAAGAAGAAACTAGTGACTTGAAAGATCTTTGTACGCCTTTATTAGAAAGTGGCACTAGTGAAGCTAGTGAAGAGAAGATGGACGATGTTTCTGTTTGCAGTTCGCCTTCGAATAGTGTGGTAATAGATAGGTCAACCAGTCCGAGTCCGAGTCAACAGGATGATTCAAAGCCGAAGAAAATCGGAAAAAGGGAAAGGATGTTTGATTTGCGAAGGAAAATGAGTGAGAAATTTGAAGAGAAGAAGCGTAACATCGAAGAAAAGGGTAGGCACATTGTTGAAAAGATGAGAGCTTCTGAGAAATGAAAAACAACAGAGTAAATGACAGAACGATTGAGTATTTGTTAGTGACTTCTTGTCATTCAGAGATCGGTATCATTCATAAATAAGAGATTAGTATCAAATGTTGTTTCATCGATGAGTTGTATATTTTCTAGGGGATTAGAAGATCAAATGGAATTACGTATATAGTTACAAAAAAATGAAAACTTTTATTGCTTTCTACTGGAGTTCCAAAATTCTTTGACTTGGTTCTCTTGTAAATTTGCAATAGCCACACATATGATAGAGAATTCATTTCATTGTTTGAATACCAAATAATCTTGTGACATAGAAATGATATACAAATCCATATATAGTGGATCTTGTTTTTTGAGTTTTTGTTTTCATTTTTATTGCTTTGAACACTTGTGATTTCATTTCTATTTCAAGCCAATGATTACATTTGAATTATCTTACCTGTACTTCTATTTGTCTATTTCAAAGTTGCAAATTTATTAAAAATATTTCTCAAGGATTTGAATGTTATGACCCCTAACATACCTGTTAGTTTATGATATAAAAGAAAAGATATAGAAAAAAATATTTAGGTCTAAAAAAATGAGAACTAACACTTTTGTTTTCTAAAGCAATATATTACTTCCTCCGTTTCAAAATGAGAGTCATTTTAGAGAAATAAAATTGTTTCAAATGAATGTTATTATCACTTTTCAATATAGTAATGATAACTATTTTTCTAATTGTGTCCTATAATTATTAAGACTAATTTAATAAAAGTGTAATGTCTCATAATAGTATAATTGTATTATTTAATCTGTGTGCAAAAACCTTAAACTACACTCATTTTGAAATAGAAGGAGTATGTTATATTTCTAATGTCTGATAATGGAGATTTTAACTTGACACCCTTCCTTTTATATCGGATATACTTTAAATTTTTTTTAAATGTCCCTATTATTATTTACCACTAAATTTTTTATATTTGCCAAAAAAAATTTACTATTGATCAAGGGGGTGAAAAAGGAAATTCCTGTTTCTGGTACCAAAATTGTGCGTTTACTGGAATTTTTGAGTTTCCAAAATTTTCGATAGCAAATAATCGGAAATTTTAAAATATCTAGGACGATTTATCGGAAATTTCGAAATTTCCTAGGCGATTTACAAAAAACTTATAACATATTTTGGAAATTTCCAAAATTTTCGGTACGCAGCATAAAACCGGAAATTTGAAATTTCCGGAATACCAGAAATTTCGCATATACTTGAAATTTTCCGTATGTCTGCAGATGGAATTTTATATCTGTGATCCAGAGCCGTCAACTTCAACTTCTTATATAGATTTTACACAGTTCTTCACCACAAATACCGTATGTTCAAATTTTTGATAATTTCATTATTGACACTTTCTAGAAATTTAAAATTTCATGTATCACACACAAGCCACAATAAATTTGATAAATTGAGTGAAATTTTCGGTATTATAATGAAATTTCCGATATGATGTTGTGAATTTTACAATTTCCGGTATATATTGGAGCATTAACGTAAATGTGCCAAAAATGGGGAAGGGGGAGGGCACGTATAAGTGTGGGAGTGTCAAGTTAAAACCTCCGGATAATGAGTCACAACGAGAGCATAACAACAAGGACACTAACTTCGTGCATGACATCACGGGGATTTAACTTGTCACCCCATAGTTGTTCCTAGCACCCCCCAAATAGAAAGAAAAGACCATAATAATCTTGTTCAAAATTTTCATTAAAAAAATTTGAAATCTCTTCGGCGATATCGGAAATTTCAAGTATATATCGGAAATTCTTCAAAAAAGTGAAATGTTTTACGAACAATTTTGAAATTTTCAAGAGATTTTACCAACAATTTTGAAATTTCTGGAAGATTTTGCCAGCAATTTTAAAATTTTCGAGAGATTTTACTAACAATTTTGAAATTTCTGAGAGATTTTACTAGAAATTTTGAGATTCTGAGAGATTTTACCAGCAATTTTTAAATTTATGGGAGATTTTACCAACAATTTTGAAATTTTCAGAAATAATTACAACTTATCAAAAATTTTAAATGAATTATCAAAAATTTTATACATACCAGAAATTTCCAACATCATATTGGAAATTTAGTTCAGACCTTTTGTTCCTTTTTTTGACAAGAGCCATTATTAGTATTAAGAAATTATGGAGGAGTGTCAAATATAATTTTTGAGTAGCAAGTTAAATGCTCTGACATCACTCAGATAAACCCTCTTGGGTCCTGGATCAAAACTAACTTATCAAATAGAAAATAAATTCAGTAAAATGAAAGGCGTTCCATGAGCAACCCCTTAAAGAAATATAGTGTTATGAAAGGCGTTTCATGAGCAACCCCTTAAAGAAATATAGTGTTAGCTAGTACAACCTCGTCCTCAAAGTCATGATGGAACAATTGGCTAAACTATCTATGAATAAGGAAAGCAAAAACAAAGAAAGAAATTAGATACCAATATTGAGGAAGACAAAAGCAACAACTACATAAAAAAATTAATGGAATTTGAAGACAAATCTAGATCCCTCACATCAAAGCAAATGGCGAGCCTTTCAGAGGAGGCTGTCAAGGAAGCATGAAAATCCTATCTTAAAATTGTAGGGCGTTTGGAAACCCCATACAGATAGAGCCCTTATCCAGATGATTATCTCTTCCTCCAAATATTTTATTTTTATGTGAAACCAAAAAGTTTAATAATGATAAAGTTTTTAGTAGATTACTTAAAGTTGGTATATCTTACTAACATTCACAGTGTTAATTGTAACATTTCTGGAGGTGGTAAAGCGGATGGGCTTACTTTTCAAAATCGTGCAAAGATGTTAACCTTGAGATTCTTGACTCTAATAATAACATAATTGATTTTTATGTTCGGGATCATAACTGTTGATATCTTATTCTCTCAAGGTGTCTTTCTTGATTATCACCGATCATAAAAAAGTTATCGTTGCAATTTTTATACTCTACAATAATATCTCATATCAATCGATGTTACCTTCTTCGAGTTTATTTCATATTTCGAGTCCGACTATGTAACTCTAGAACCCCTTCAAGAAATTACTCTCACGCATATTCTAAAAGTTATTAATGTCTCGTTTACCATTATTCCCAATCGTTCTAGGGAGCCTGACACACTAGATATCCCTACGATTAACCCTCCCACTTCTCAACCACTACAAACATATCACCATCGTTATCCAATGTCTATCATACTTGTTCCTGAGATCATTGCAGACTCTCCTCCTACGCTGTCTCCGTCACCGGATTTGATCCTACAACCAAAGTTTGATCTTTCGACTGCCCTTCGAAAATGTATATGTCAAACAAAAAATTCCACTCCATATTATATTGATTTATGTTTTCACCATCTTTCCCCTTTACATTATACTTGTCTCTCTTCTTTATCTTTTGTTTCTATTCCTAACACTTCAGGTGAAGCATTATCTCACTCTAAGTGGAGACAAGCAACGACTGATGAAATATGTGCTCTCTAAAGCAGTGATACATGGGAACTGGTTCCTCTACCTCCAGGGAAGTCTTTGGTCGGTTGTCGTTGGCTACTATGAAGGTCGATCCAAATGGTAAGAATGATCGATTTAAAGCTCGTTTGGTATCCAAAGGATACACTCATATTTTTAGTTTGTATTATAGTGATACTTTCTTACCTTTAGTCAAGATGACATTAATTAGACTTCTTCTCGTCATTGCAATCATTCGACATTGGCCTCTTCATCAACTTGACATCAAAAATGTATTTTTACATGGTGTCATACCCCAAATTTGTCCGCCTTATTTCTGAAGTCAAATCATTTTCAAACCCGGTTTTTATAAGATGTTTGGTTTATTTATACTAACATTTTAACACTGATTTATCTTGCTCATTTAAAAATATATAATAGTTTACTTTAAATTATTTGTATTTTTTAAATAACAAATATTTGTTGGACCTTCATATACTTTCAAATTCCTTTTTATTGTGAATAAATGAGACAACATAATTTGTAAGGAGGTAAGTTTTGTAAGTACGAGGTCATGGGTTCGAATCTCACATTTTTTTTTATATTTTAACTTTTTCCCTTTCATTTATTACTAACTTTATTTCCATTTTCAAAATCATAAAATTTCTTTTTTTATTATTTTAATTTTAATTTGCGTTTTTATTTTAAGTCATTTTAAAAATAATTATTATTTATTTAATTTTATGCACTTTTCTGGTTATCATTTTCTATTGGTCAGTTTGTGTCCATCTGTGTCACACTCAGAGTCTATTTGGTCAACTTGTTAACTAAGAAATATCTGATTTATTTGATTTGATTTTAATTCCTTTTTTAATATTTTAACCTAATTTCTCATCTTATAAATAGTGGTCATTCTTCGCATACTCTTCATTCACAATTTCTCACAATTCCACTACATATCAATAATTTTCTACTTCGCATACACTGTCTTTCAAAAACCCTTTTAAACATATTTTTGGTTTTACTTTTGCAATTTCTTTTTAAAACTATTTGTTTTTTTTTCTTTGATCAATGATTAAATCTTCGATATGAGGCCTCTCTTTTATCTTCAATTTTATCGTTTTTAATTCTAATTTATTTGATATTTACACCTGTTGTACCCAAAAATTTGCCTTCTCATTTCTCAAGAAATTCTCACAAGATTTTCAATTGCTCAAAATTGCACAAGGTTTAATCAGCTCAAGACACTTCCTCAACACTAATGACTCAAATTAGGGTTTGAGTTTACACACAGAAAAATGAACTTTTAATGCCTCATATGACTTTCATGGATCATTTTGGACCTTCAAGAACGCTCATGTCAAATTTCAAGTCTTGCAGTTCAAGTTTGCTTAGTCAATTGATCAGATGACCTAAAATCAACTATATTGGGTAAAAAGTCAACTGTGGCCAAATTAAAGTCAAACTTCATGATTTTTGATCCATATCACTTTGAACTCATATAAACTATTTGGTCAAGTTTGGATTACAATTTCT